AACCAGTAGTAAAAAAAATGGTTTAAAAAGTTTAAAAACTGTCCTGACGATCGCACGGCACTGTGGATTGTCACAGATGATTGTCGGAACTTTTTTTTTTTACTTTGTTAAAGCATTTTTTAACTACCAGTTCTCCCAAACCAGTAGTAAAAAATGCTAAAAAAAGTTTTTAAAAAAGTTTGGTGCACATGCACATGGGTAGCAGACTTCAGAGCATTTCACCCCTGCATTGCACCATTAAAAGTATTAAACAAAGGTGGTTATTTTAATATTTCCAATAAAAGCAAAATCTCAAAACTGCAGAACCAGAAGAATAGCTAATATAAATTATTTCATTACAGCAAGATTTTCAAAAATCTACCTGTCTTCCCAATATAAATATATTTTCTTTGGGAATAATATACAGGAAATATTACTAAACAGTTTTTTCCTAATTTTAATTAGCAGGAAATAGGTTTCATTGCCAAATGTCAGGTTCCTTGCACAGAAATAGAAACAAGTCTGAGCAAAATCATAAATCTGACATGTGGTTTAAATAAAGATATCACATGCAATTTATGAAGTTTCATGGTAGGTATTATAAATTTTCCCCCTGATAAATTGCATTCATGCTAGCTTCCAATTCTAAGAAAAACCAAGATAAGTACCAGGTTAAGGAAAAGAGGTAAAACACAATGGGTAGAAATGGGGAAATAAAGGTTTGTATTGGGGCAAATTTTATATTTTGATGAAATTATCTATTTTGACGAAATTATCTATTTTGTGGAGAGTGATGTAGCAGAAGAATAAACAGTTTACCTGGTAACCAGTATATTTGAGTGGTCAGTTTTGCATTTACAGCTATGGATTTTCTAGGTGCCATTACAATTCGGAACAGGGGACATTACATGAGTTACAACGTCATTTGTTACCTCACAGGAACACCTTTCTCTCTTTTTCCCCAAAATTCAATTTCAAAATATTTCAAAATATTTATTACAGTCAAAGACCAGTACATTTCCCTATATTAAGTAAAAAAAAAACCAACTGGTGAACAGAAAGTCCTAGACGATGCAGAACCCTAACAGTTGAAAAAGAATTAAGGAGAAAAATGGAAGGTATATCCTCAACATGCACCAGGTAGGTAACCTTTCCCCTAAAAACCTCCTCAGCTGCAGAAACTGAACATCACATATAAAAGTTCCGCACCTATGCAAAGCCCCCTTAGAACCTATATGTATAATGTTCAAGAAGTGAGATGAAGAAATAGCAGTTTTATACATCAGTGTTTCTCAATCTTGGCAATTTGAAAACATGTGGCCGCCAACTCCCAGAATTCTGGGAGTTGAAGTCCACACATATATGTACCACAGCAGGTGTTCCCAACCCGTGGCCCGTGGCCCACTACCGAGCTGTGGCCTATTTGGAATTGGGCTGCATGAGTGGGTGGCTGGAGTGCGCATGCGCAGCTCAACTCGTGCTCACGGCATGCCGATGGGCACTTGCATGGGCATGTGCCAGCCCACAACTTGCACAAGGCCTGCGTGAATGCACAGGGCTGTATGCTCATGCTGGCCCACCATTCGCGCAAGGGCTACATAAATGCGCACTTATGCAGTCCAGTTCCTCTCTTCTCCCCACAGCTGGGCCGCCAAGCAACAAAGGTTGAGGACCGCTATTCTACATTACACATATAGGTTCTCCAATGGGGTTCTGTACATTTGTGGAACTTTTATATGTGGTGTTCAGTTTCTGCAGCTGAGGTGGCTTTTAGGAGGAAAGGTTACTTTGCCCGGTGCATGTTGAGGATCTAGTTGGCTGGGAAATTCTGGGAGTTGAAATTCCATACTTCTTCACACTGCCAAGGTTGAGAAATACTGTTGTACGCAATTTGCCTTATCCACATCTTTTTAAATTCTCTTGTGTATTCGTTGTGATTCTTAATAGATGTGTATCTTACCTTTGGATTTCCTCGGACACTGCAGTTCAAAGTTGCATTATAACCAGATATGGCATATGTATTAACTAAAGGCTGAGTGAACATTGGTGGTTCAGTGAAATTGAAGTCCTCATAAACTGGATTTTTGTACACTTTACCTGCAAAAGAGAAGTTCAAAAATTGCTAAAAGAATGTTGTAAAATGTTCATTTCCTCAGTTGCTACCTACCTATGAACAAAGTTTATCAGTAAATCGTGGAACTGTGTAATCCTTCAGATCTGGCTTGTGAAAGCACTGACATGCAAATGTAGTGTGTGCTTCTAATTCTTAAAAGCAGCAACTTTATTTCCTGGGTCATGAAGCTAACCTCTGTAGCTGTCCTATAATCCTGGGAAGAGATACTGCACAGTACATCCTGTTCATTTGTCTGCAGCCTACTTTAAAACCGATCCACAATAAAAGATACATCATCAAAGATTTCTTCCTTCAAGAGTTCTAAAATGCGAGTTCAACCTTTTTTCCATCACATTTATAGATGGCACTAAATATAAAGAAATTGAACAAGGAACTTTGAAAATTCTGTGTTTTGTGGACTCATAATCTAACTGTCTATAATTTATACAGATTTTCTTCGTTTCTTTTTTTTAAAAAAACTTCTTCATCTTTCTTGCCCATTGATTTTGTGGGGAGGGATTAAAAAGGAAGAAGTTTGTCATCTAGAACCTCAAAGAATATAAATGAGATTAGAGGAAGGAAATGTTTTTGATTAGTTGGACATTCTGATTGGCTAGTAGCTGTTTTCCACCATTGCGTCCCTTCCCTGATGGATTGCAGATTATCTTTCAAGAAAATGATGAAAATGCACCATCGTTGCCTAAAACATGAACTAACCACCATCCCTTCTCCCTCCAAGGTAGCAAAACACCGTGATCAGTGAATACTGGTGTTCTGAGTGGATGCAAGGCTGAAATTTTCTCTTGTATAGGCAGTCTGAATTAAATGTCCATAAGATCCTTAAATCTTCCTTAAAGTACAGTGGTAGTGCACTTAAATAGTTTTAGATAAAGTGCTGTTATTGGAAAAATTTAAGTCACTTTCCTGACCATGTTTCTCTATGCAAAAGAGGTCAGTGGTCACAAATGATTTTTGTTTGATATTGATAATTATGGTACATTCAGAATTAAGGAAGTGAACACAGATTAACACTTAACACAAGGTAGAATGACGAAGGAAAAACCTGGAGTGCTGGTAATTTTCAACTTACAACCATTTGTGTAAGTTGACAAGTTGACCATTTAAAGATACAATGGCACCGGAGAAAGTGGTTTCTAGTTAGTCCTTGCACTTATGACAGTTGCAGTATGTCCACAGTCCCAAGATCAAAATTCAGACACTATGCAACAACAGTTGCATCATCCTGGGATCATATGGTGACATTCCCAGCTTGTGTTCCAACAAGCAAAGCTAATGGGGGCAAGCCAGATTCACCCAATGACAGTCAGAGTCACTTAACAACAACAATGGTTCATTTAGCGACTATGGCCCCAAAAGGGCAGAAAATCAGGCACTTACCAACTGTTACTGTGAGTAGGTGGTTAGATAAATATTTCCAAATAAATAAATAAACCACCAATTCTATTTTACTAAGAACCTACAGGACAATGTTATGCAAAATCCACATGGGATACCTTGCTTCCAATCAGTATT